GTGCCCTAGTATATGGTTGATTTTGGAGAAGGTTCCATGGGGTGCTGATTAGAAAGTCTGTCCTTTGGTACTTGGGTGGAATACTCGGTAGATGTCTATTAAGTCCATTTGATATATGGTATTGTTTAACTCATCTGTCTCTCTGTTACCTCTCTGCCATTTTGACCTATCTAATGGAGACAGTGGGTTATTGAAGTCCCCTACTATTAGTGAGTTGGGAAATCTGGGTCTCAAAGTCCTGTAGTATTGTGTTTATGAAGTTGGGTGCACCAGAGTTTGGTGAATATATGTTCATGATTGTAATATCTTCTTGATTTATTGTTCCTTTGATCAGAATGAAGTGACCCTCTGTATCTCTTCTGATTAGTTCTACTTTAAAGTCTATTTTGTCAGATATTAGAATTGCTAGAGCTGCTTTTTTCTTAGTACCATTTTGTTTGGTATATTTTTTTTCCCATCCTTTCACTTTAAGATAGTGTCTGCCCTTGAAAGTGAGATGGGTTTCTTGCAGACAACAAAAAGATGGGTTTTGTTTCTTAACCCATTCACCTAGTCTGTGAGTATTGAATCCTGTCATTTTTATTTCTATTTACATTCATGATGTAGCTTATCATTATGCCTTCACTGAATTTCTTTCTGCAACCCCTTGGGTATAGTCATTCCTTTCTTTAGCTCTTTCTATTGCTTCCAGAACTCTCTGAAAGGCTGGTTTTGTGGACATGAATTCCTTCAGCCTGTTTATGTCATGGAAGATTTTTCTTTCCCCTTTGACTACAATAGACATTTTGGCTGGGTATTGTAGTCTGGGTTGGCATCTGTGGTCATTTAAAACTGGGAATACTTTGGTCCAGGCTCTTCATGCTTTCATAGTTTGTACTCAAAAGTCAGTTGTAATCTTAATGGGGTTTCCTTTTCTGTTTGGTGTTCTATATGCTTCTTGTATTTGTATGGGCATATCTTTCTTTAATTTGGGGATTCTGTTGAAGATCTGGTCCATGCCATTATCTTGGGATGCTTCTCCTTCCTGTATGCCCATGATTCATAACTTTGGTCTTTTTATGGTGTCATACAGTTCTTGCATATTCCATTCTTGTGTTTTCTTAAAATTTTTCATAATCTTTGCTTGAGTGGCCTAGATCATCCACTTTATCTTCCAGTCTTGATATTCTATTTTCCATTTCATTCATCCTATTGTTGAGGCTTTCACCTGTCATTTCAAATTAGCTTACTGAGTGTTTCACTTCCCTCTTCATTTCAGCCTGAGCATTCTTCAATATTTCTAACTCTTTTCTGAATTCATTCAGAAGTTTATCCATACTTTCTTTCAGTTCTTTGATTTCTTTGTGTGTTCTTTAAATTCACTGAATTCTTTTAAGCATGTTTATAATTGTTCTTTTGACTTCCAAGTCTTGTGTTATCTCTAGGGGGTTCTCATTGTACTCCTGTAGAGGACTGATGGTACTTCGTGGGGTTATATTATTTTGATTTTTCATGTTATTATTGTTTCTCTGTGACTTTGACATGTGGATTTCTTTTGTAGATTCTGGTTCTTGTGTGATATTCAAGCCTTCCTTTGTTGAGTTTAGGTCTGCTTCTTTTTGTAAACTTTATGTGCCTTTGTGGTTTACTCGCTGGGAATAAAAAGCTGCTTGGTTTAGAATTCAGGTTCTGTCTTTTGATTTTATATTGGAGTGGTCAAATTGCTTTCGTCTTGCTGCTCAGGAGTTCCCACAGAGGCCCAAGTCAGATGAGGATCAGATGATTTCAGGCTTTCTCCTAAGGTCTGGATCCCTACAGGAAAGATGTTGGCCTCAGGAATTTGAGGGCTGGTTTGGTCTGGAAGCAGGGCCCAGGAAAGATTTTGTGCCCCCAGGTATCCAAAGGGAGGTGGGGGAGAGAAGAGCCCTGAGGTCTCCTGGGGACTACAGGGAGGAATTGGGTTGGTCTGGATGCAAAGGATCAGGAAGCAGTGGGGATTTTGGGCTAAGAGGTCAGTCCATGGGTCTGGGGTGTCATAACAAGAGATGGGCCAATGCCCCTGCTAGGATGAGAAATGGGGTTGGGGAACTGGGAGGGTGAATGAGGCTGAGTGTGTCAAGGTGCAGTGGGCACAACAGCCAAACTTACTCAGGCACTCTGCTGGCTCCTGGAAGCTGTGGGGCTGGACTGCCCTGAGATGCAAAGGGAGGTGGTGACTAGAGGGAGGAGTTGGTTTGGTCTGGGTGCAAAGAATCAGGAAGCAGTGGAGAGTTTGGGCCAAGAGGTCAGTCCAGAGGTCTGGGGTGCCAAGATAGGAGATGTGCCAGTCCCCCTGCTAGGAGGAGAGATGGGGTGGGGGAGCTAGGAGAGTGAATGAGGCTGGGGGAGTCAAGGAGCAGTGTGCAACAGCCAAACTTACCCAGGTAAGCTGCTGGCTAAAGCTATTTATTATTTTTTGTGGATGAGTGTATTGCTTGCATGTGTGTAAGTGCACTTGTGTTGTGCAATGCCGAAGGAGGTCAGAAGATGGTGTTGGATCCCCTGGAACTGGAGTTATGGATGATTTTTAGCTGCCATGTGGATGCTGGGAAATATAACTGGGTCCTCTGCAAGAGCAGTCAGTTCCCTTAACTGCTGAGTCATTTCTCCAGGCCCCTCCCTTCCTTTCTTAATAGATTTACAGTAAATAGGAAGTATAAGATAAAGTATACTAAAGCAACTCTACTTTCTGGAAAATCTTTGCTATTTAGTCTGGTTCACCTTTAAAAATGTTACCTTTTACTTTGCTTGAATCTTTGTGTTAGGCTATTGTAAAATTTTCAGCATATGTGTATAACCTTCCTCATTTATTTAACCATTTTGAAATGGGGGTGGATTTTTCAACACAAAATGAAAGCACATGATAGAAAACCTGAAAAATCAGTATTCCCAATCTAGATATATGCAAGAGTGCAGATGTAGTGGTGACAGAGAAAATTATCAGGCTAAGCTGGGTATACAGAAATGAGTAATTGCAGACCGTGATAAGAGACATGATGAAAGTAAAATAGGGAGAGGCAATGGAGACCTATGCGTGTATCTGTGCATGCGCATGCACACAAGGTAATTAGCATTCCTTAGTTCCTTGTTTGTCAGATGAAGAGTTGAATTAGATGTCTCTAAGAGGCTTTCAGGACATTTCTAATATGCAACTTTTATTATTTTTATTGAAAATTTTTATGATAATTTTTATTCACATCATATACCTGTTGGTATCCATATTAGTATTTTTCATTTTTCTTTACTTCTTTCTTCCTTGTTTATTATCTATTTATTTACTTATTTATTTATTGATAGAATATTATTACTGTGTGGCCCTGACTGGCCTGGAACTCACTATGTAGACCAGGCTGGCCTTGAACTCACAGAGATCTGCCTACCTCTGCCAAGTGCTAGGATCAAGGCATGCACCACCACACCTGGCCATAATAGTATTTTTATAGGTACAATTATGAAAACTCCATCTATTGGAATTTGAAATGCGTATTTTCTGCCTATAGTGTGCCATTATTTATCTGTTTCCTAAATTGGTTGTTAGAATTCACTGTCTTTGATCAGTGGCAGTGGTTTGGACAGTGTCTTGACTGAGATTGTAGTTTCTTTCTCCCATGCAATTAGGGCCAGTGGAAAAGCCCCAATCCGCAGAAGCATTAGAGAAGAGTCAGGTGTGAGTGGTCACTTCTGCAGAATGATTTAAAGAGTGGTTGGCTAAGAATTTCACATAGATCATGTGAGAACAGTGATTAGGGAAAGTGATGGTAATGATAACAATTCAAGAGCTGTTACATTTGCTTTAAATTTCTTCTGGAGACTGAGGTAGAACCCTTGTGGACACATACACCTTTTCTGTTTGGTAGAAGAGAGACAAGAGTGTTGACTTTGGACAATAGTTCTCAGGTCATCTGCTTAGATTTTTCAATGAGTTTATTTTGTTCACTAGTAATCACAAAAATTCAACAAGGAAGATTCATTTTTCTTAGTTGTCATGGGAAAACACGTTCTGAAGCTGCTGTAAATCCGTTTTATATATATACTGACATGTAAGTTGAACTCTACTAGAGTATGGATGGAGCTCACGCTTTGAGCACTTTTTGGTGGGTAGATATGCCTTGTTTGTTTTCATGTAGCTCCTGTCTAACAGTGACGTCTTTCAGCCTTGCTTCTTTCTGGGGTTTTTCTCTTGTTTGTATTTGAAAATTTTACAAAGGAGAAAAACAGTTTTAGGAGCGGTCACTTTAAAAACAGTTTTAGGAGCAGTCATTTTAAAAACAGTTTTAGGAGCAGTCATTTTAAAAGTGACAAAATGGATCAGACACAAGATCCCAAATACTTTTGACATCTTTGGCCTTTTAACAGAGTATGTTGCTACCAGTCCCAAGGACATTTTGAGTTTTAGCCAAGAAACTGGCTACTTTTCTTAGGGGTCTTTTTACCCTAACTGCCTAGCCAATTCCTACCTCCTAATCCTTAAAAGATTTTAGGGTTACCTCTTCAGAGGTGGTAATGTTAGAGTACCCAAAAGCCCCATAAAAATAAATAAATGAAAGAAGAAAAAAAGAAAAAGAAAAAAGTGGTGGGGAGATATGTAGGGGGTTTGGAAGGGAGAGAGTGGTCATGGATTTGATCAAAACATCTTATATGCATGTATGAAATTCTCAATAAAGTTTTTGTAAAAGTTTAAAAAATGACAAAATGGGGGCTGGAGAGATGGCTCAGCAGTTAAGAGCACTGACTGCTCTTGCAGAGGACTTGGGTTCAATTCCCAGCACCTACATGGTGGCTACAAGCCATCCTAACTCCAGTTCCAGGGGAATCAGAAGCCGTCTTCTGATCCCCGTGGCATTGCATGACATGGGTGCACTCACGTACATGCAAGCAATACACTCATATAAAATAAAAATAAACAAAAATTTTTTAAATGACAAAATGAAAAGATAATAAAACAAATGAATGTAAAATGGATATCACTTGTCTTATTGTAGAGGCAAACCAAACCTACTGGACATGGGCTCTTTGATGATCAAACCAATTCAGCGCGTGATGAAATACCCCTTACTACTGTGTGAACTTCGGAACTCAACCCCTCCCTCTCACCCAGATTACAGAGCACTGGAGGAAGCCTTTGCTGCTGTGAAGGACATTAATGTTAACATCAATGAACTGAAAAGAAGGAAAGACCTAGGTAGGAGGACGCATGATTGGAGCATTCTATTTGTCTGCAACAGTCATGTCTGGACAGGTCATGTAGAAGTCACAGTGAATATGATCATTTGAAATCTAGAGCCACAGGTGGGGAACAGAGTGTGAGTTTGCCTTGACGCTGGATTGAGGAGAAGACCATACAAACACACAAAATGATAATTAAAAGAATAAAACAGGTCTGCTCAAGTATTGAGCCTCATCCAATCACTGCAGTTTTCAGTGACATACTGTGGGCATGCAATGCTCCTCAGCTCTGGAGGTCTTGCATAGCAAGAAGGAGATATCACCAGGGAGCTGCAGCACTGGGAGTCTAGTGCAGAGAGAGGCTAGACCAAGACAGTTCCCTGTGAAGAGCTTATCTAGTACACTGGGCTTATTACATACAACAATGAAGATTTGAGGGTCAATAATTACTCCTCCAAAGGAAACAAGTTTACTTTCTAGAATTGACAAATGGTTCCTAACTATTTTAAGCTAAGATACATAATTAATGTCTCCTGTAAAATGTATGTTTCAGAACAGACCATTTCAGACAATTCCATGGTTCCCATATATTTAGGAGGCAGTAAGACCAGGTCTTTTCAGTGTGATTAGAGTTCACAAAGCTCTTCACTGGCTTTGTATTGCTAACATAAAACCTCAATTCAACATTTACATAATGTCAGGAGTTTAGAGATAAATAGTATGACTACTTCATTTTCAAATATTTATGTAAAAAGCAATATATTTAATTTAATAGATTAAAATTGTGAAAAATAAAATAAAAGAGCAAGTTATAGAATAAAAGATACCATATGCAAAATGAAAAGGCTACATACAAAGGATAACTATCCAGAATGTATTATTATTAATATCAAGTCAGTAATAAGATTACTCTAATAAAAAGGCCAATAATAACCAGTTCACAGAAAGACTAACAACATTAAAATTCTAAGTTTCACTAGTAATTAGAGGAACAAAAATTAACAACATAGCAATATGTTCAATCTCTTGGGCCAGAGAATGAATAAATAAGGTTAAATGTTGTATCTCCATATGAAAATTCAAATGTGAACTGAAATCATCCCTCTAGAGGACAGCTTGCCACCATGTAGTAAGCTGAAGATGCTCACCCTAGGGACTAGAAAATCAACCTCTAGGTATTTGCTTTATAGAAACGCTTGTTTATGTGCTCAAAGAGACATGCATTGCTAATTAGAATTATTCACAAACATTTCTACACTTGATATTAGTCAAAAGACAGAGAAGTATTTTAAAAAGTATTTTAGAGTTTTACATAATAATCCATTTAATGGACCAATTGTATTATACACTATGATACAGTAAGATTAAAAATTAATGAAATAAAATTACTTGTAAAAATTGGATTAATTACAAGAATACAGTTTTGAGAAGTGTTTTGTTTTCTTTTGTTTTTTGAAGCAAGAGCTCATGCAACCCAGGCTGAGTTTGAACTCATTGTGTAGTCAGGTAGGCTTGAACTCCTGATCCTCCTGGCTTTCCCAAACTTGGCTCAATTTTGAGTTTTAAAACAAATAAATTAGCAAACAACAGAAGGATGTATTCAATATAATACTATTTTTATAAAGAAACTAGTAACTAACATCCTGTGTAATTGTACATGCACTGTACCTGTGCATCATCAACAGTACCTGTGATTGACCATCTTCTTATACCCTTACTAACAATGACTTTTGTGAATATCAGATATTTGGAAAAGATAAGTAATAATTATTTTAATGATAAATAAACTCAGTGGTACTCACCTAAGTCACTGACGATGTGAAAAGACACCCTAGCATATGAGGGTGCTGTGTGATGGGGGCTCAAGTATTTTTCATTTCTTTGGTCCTGATTCCCTATTCCAGAGACTCCCAGATAATACATATACTATCAGAGAATGGTAAGATATGCTTTCTTTTATTCTAATACTAGTAATTTTCCGTTTGTCCCCCTACCCCCTAGTACTAAAGGTCAAACCCAAGGCCTCTTCCCCAGTCCAAAGATATTAAATTTGGGGCTTGAATAGCCATGTCTTTAAGTAATTGACATGGCTCAAGGTCAGTGGGGTGGGGCCCTTGGGGCAGACTTAACAGTGGAGGTAAAGCACATCACCCTGCAGAGAACTTAAAATCACATAGATCCTGACCTTGCATAAATAAATGGCCTTGAAATTGAGTGGCATGTGTGCTCGCCATGCTGCACATGAGCAGATACATCATTGCATTCTTCCTTTTCAGTTCTGAAATATAAGAAGAATGATGAGGATGAATCGCTTAAAGAAAAATTGTCGAAACTAAATATTCATTCAATTAGCAAGAAGTCAAAACGAGTGACAAATCATCTAAAGATTTTGACCAGAGGAGACTCACAGGTAATTTTTCTTCTTGGGCCACCTATGTTCCCCCAAGGAACAGTAACTGAAGTTTTTGAGAGGCTTGGTTTTGCTGTTTCCGTGAGTAGATGCAGAACGCAGAACCGTGGTAATCACTGAAGCACTCCCTTTACTTCTGCTTTTCTAAAAAAATTCAGTTTCTTAAAGATGATGCCACTTGTGCTAGATGACGCAATAAAGTGTTTAGATGCAGAACTCAGTGTGATATTTTTCCTACCCCTTTATCCCTTTCTTTTTCCCACTCCCTAGACACACATTAGATCAGTGGGTAACTGTTCTTTATCAGCTGTTTAGTGTGTCTTGTCCATTGTCATCTCAACTCCTTATAATAACAGGTAGATTGGCAAAGTCGCCTAAATGTTAATGTGCTTGAGGAGACTCATATGAGATGAGCTAAAGGCAGATTCTAGAGTGTCACAAGAGTCAAGGATACAACCTAGAATGCTGTATCTATACAAACATCACAGGAATTTCGAGGTTGTATAAACTTGAAATAAGTGACCAAGGAAGCATGTTGAGAACTCAACAAAGAAAGGTCACGACACTGGTAATGCAATGGGCTTCTCGTGTCCTAATTATGAAATTTAGGACAATGCTACATTGTCATCATTAGCCTATTTTTATCACTTATTATTTGAACATCTCTAAGATCCTTAGTTTGAATTAATGCAATTGCATGGTGGTTCGGCTTTGGGTTTAGATGACTTAGTATGTGTACCTTACTGTTAGCTACTGTGGTGTTCTCTTCCTTCTTTCATTAAGTTTTTGCCCCTTTCTGAATATTTAAGTATTATAAAAGTGATCACTTCCTTTTTGAATACTTAACAGACTTACTTTCTGTATTCTAATCATTTTTAAAGATTTATTATTTTTTAAAAACTATGTGTATGTGTCCCTGTGTATGTGCAATGAGTACAGGTGCCCATGGAGGCCAGAGGACTCAGATCCCTCTAGAGCTAGAGTTACAAGTAGTTGTAAGCCACAAGACCTGGGTGTTGAGAACCTAACTGGGTCCTCTGCAAGAGCAGCAAGTGCTCTTAACCACTGAGCCATCTCTCCAGCCCTGTATTCTAATCTTGGCACTTCTCCTATTTGCAAGAATCAGCACAGAGCAGAATTTTTTTAAAGGTCTTTGAAGTTATTTAATCTCTGCCTCTTCTATTTGAAGACTATCTCTGCCATTTTTTGACAGGGTCTCCCTAGACCCAACCTGCCTGGAACTCATTATGTAGCCCAGGCTGGCCTCAATCTCATAGAGATCTGCCTACCTCTGCCTCCTGGCAGAGTGCTGGAATTAAAGGCATGTACCACCATGCCCAGTGTAATCTCTGGCATTTGATAAATTTTTTTTCTTAGGAACTACAGCTTTAATTAAATGTAATCAGTATTGCATTTGAGTTATTCTAGTAAATGACACATGGGATGGCTATGGGGATTAAATAAAATAATGTAGATATTCAAAACTGCATTCATGGGGCTGGAGAGATGACTCTGGTTAAAAGCACTGGCTGCTCTTGCTAACCCAGGTTCAGTTCCCAGCACCCACATGGCAGCTAACAACTGTCCTTAACTCCAGTTCCAAGGGAATCCAATGCCCCCTTCTGACCTCTGTCGCTTTGCATGACACAGGTACACTTACACACATGCAAGCAATATACTAATACATATAAAATAAAATTAATAAATAAAATATTTAAAAATTAAACTAAAATGCATTGAGTGTAAACACTCAACATACAGTGGCTGTTGTGATAGTCACATCAACCATCATCCTTATTTTATGTCATTGCCTTGAATTATTTACTTCTGAGTATTCAGACTTCTTACACACTATGAAGGTGAAAACTCCTTTACACATAGTGTTAATGATACTCTTTAAGCTTTGTTTTACAATGTTTTGATATATAATAACTAGATGCTTGAGGAAAGACTGCCTCTTCTAGGGCTAGTCAGTCCTTAGAGACAGCAAATGGCTGATGAAACAACTTTTATAAGTGAACCCCAAAGTCTATAATAATCTAACTCTTACATACTAATTATCTTAGTTTAAGCCAACTAGAGAGAAGCCCTAAAGCCTAGAGCCCATGGGAAATATTCAAAGCAGCCAGTCCTAAGCCATTTATTTGGCTCAGCATTGCCTTTCTGGAGAAAATCCCATTAACAGCTCTGGCCTAGACTTTTCTTCACTCAGACCCTCTGCAACATGACCAAAGCCTTGCATTGTGTGGCATATGCTGTTCTCCTGTCTAGAGCTGTGAATATAGTATATTTTTATCTTTGTCTTTTTCTCATTTTTCTCTGTGGCTACACTGACTTCACCATATTGTATTTATTTCTTCATAAGTTCCTAGGGGTTCTCTAGCTCAATCACAAAGAGAGACTCAATGGGCTGGAAAGATAACTCAATGATTAAGAACACTTACTGTTCTTCCAAAGGACCTGGGTTCGATTCCCAGAAACCACATGGTGGCTAACAATGGTCCATAATTCCTGTTCCAGGGGATCACCCTCTTCTGGCCTCCATGGGGCATTACATGCACATGGTAAACTTACATACATGCAGGCAAAACACTCATATGCATAAAATAAAAATAAATAATTTTTTTTGAGACAGGGTCTCCTTATAGCCCCAGCTGTCCTGGAACTCACTATGTAGGCCATGCTGGCCTTGAACTCACAAAGATCCTCCTGCTTCTGCCTCCCAAGTGCTGGGATTAAAGGCATGAGCCACAACGCCCAGCCTAATGAATAATTTTTTTTAAAGAGGCTCAATATGGAACTATAATGTGAGAAGTTTGGGACATTAAGAGATCTGTATGGTCACAGATCAGGAAATATACAATCAGGACATTTCAACTAAAAACAACAGTAATAAAATCAAATTGAAAATTAATTTAAGGAGATTGTAGCCCCCTGTAGGCATATATAAATGTAGTATAAAAATTCTCCATTCTCAATGGTTCAAGTCCAGCTTCAAGGCCTAATAACCACATCAATGACTGGCATAGCAAACAACATTGGTGCAGTTGGCATTTTTATCTGGGGGGTAATCAACAGCTACCTAATTGAACAATGGGAGGAAACTCATGTGTGGTACTGTAAACCTAGCCAAATACACATAGCTGAAGAGGTCATAGATCTTAGAGAAAACCCAAAGGCTGTCATATCCCTAGACAAATGTAATGTCTTACTATGTGCAAAATATGGATCCTTAAATTTACAGACAAGTATGCCAGTCACCACCCATCAAAGAAGCTTCTTTTTCAACAGACAGAGATTATTACACAGTTCCACAACTTGTCATACACAGAGATTGTCTGTGAATTGCCCAAGCCTAAGTGGTACATCTACAATGCAACCTCCACACCTAAGGCTCACAGAAATAGAACAAGGGGGGAAAAGGACACTATTGCATCTTTCCATTCTCATCAATGAAGCTCCCTTATGTAACAGAGGGCCAGGAACACAAAAGATCACAAACAACCAAAATGCAGAGAGCAAGAGACTACAGAGTGTGAATTTTGACAGGACTCCTATATTAAAATCCTTCCACCTAGGGCTCAGGGACCGTTGCAGAAGAGGGGGTGGAAAGCTTGTAAGAGCCAGGGAGTGTATGCATGAACATATGGAAATAGAGTCCTACAGACTCCTGAGACCCTTCTCTTATGAACCTACAGCAAAGGTGTCAGCATGCACAGGACCCATGCAAATTCAAGGAGACAAAAACCCAGCACAGAGCTGTGGAAATGGGCAGCAAGCCCCAGTCTTAGTCAAAGAATTATTGGTAGCTGATTACTGCTGGATGGGGAAGAGCTGATCTTGTTAAGGGGAGGGACTCTAGATAGACTGACTAGACCTCAGTGGATGAGGGACATCTGGGGACACTAATTTGACTCAATACCCATGCAAATTCAAGGAGACAAAAACCCAGCACAGAGCTGTGGAAATGGGCAGCAAGCCCCAGTCTTAGTCAAAGAATTATTGGTAGCTGATTACTGCTGGATGGGGAAGAGCTGATCTTGTTAAGGGGAGGGACTCTAGATAGACTGACTAGACCTCAGTGGATGAGGGACATCTGGGGACACTAATTTGACTCAATAGGCCTTAACACAAATGACAGAATGTATGAATTCCAGTGGAGGAGTGGGCTATGGCGGGGAGCCAATGGGGAAGTAGGTATAAAGATGATTAAGACTGATTAAGATATTCTGTATGAAAGACACAAAAATTCAATACCAA